CTTTTTCTAATCTTACTTATCAGCTGTTGACAACCATTTAAGATTTCAAAATTTATAGAAGAATGATGAAAAATTATGGTTTGAAAAAATCTAAAAGGAGAAGTCGCCACTTGTCCAAATTGTCAGGTGGGACAATTCACCTAAAAATAGGTTTGCACAGAGATCTAGGTTTGGGAGTTCAATTAGGAGTGAGAAAGGGTATACGGACATCTCACAGTCCTCTGTATAAACATAGTTGCATACTTTAACATTGGGGTTTTAATTCAGCTTAAAAATTAAATGGACAAAATGTGACATTTGAAAGACCTTTGGGATAGATTGTACCAAATTAAAAACATGCATGCATAATTGCAAGAAATTAAAAGTTAAGGGACTAATTTGATAAAAATTAGAATTTTAAAGGATCAATTTGAATTTATTTGGAAGCTAACAGGCCAAATTGCTCAATGGTAAAAGTTTTGGGTGAAATTGAAATGAAAGAAAGGTAATTTTCTTTTGACTTTTAAAACTTTGACTTAGATTAAAGAAGGTAAACAAGTTAAAATCAATTAATCATGATAATTAATTTAATTAGATGATTAGTTTAATATTAATTAAAATTAATTAATTATATTTATTAGCTTTTAATTAAGATAAGGTTAAATGCTAAATTTGGTCCCTCAACTTTAGTGAGTTGCACATTTTTGGTCCCTCAACAATTTTTTGCACTTTTTTGATCCCTCAACTCTAAGAAATGCACCACATTTGTCCTTCTGTTAATTTCAGCCGTTAACTAAGCCACGTGGCATTTTTTATTTTTTTTTATGACATGGCAAGAACAACATAAAAATGTGCTGAACTGGACTCTTTTTTTATGACATGTCATCTTCTTCCTACACCAACACCGTCTCACGTTGCCTGCAAACCACCAATAAAGATTTGTGAACCCTAGAATGGTCTCTCATCTTCACTCTCTGCAAAATCAATCTAACTCAAGTTGGGTTGCACTAGCAGTAAAGGCCTCACAAAATAATATGTCTATGAACCCTATGAACCCTAGAATGCTTCAAAGGAGAATTTGAAATTCTCTGCCATTGAACCCAGCTACTGGTTTCATTGAAGCCTCAAACCTAACATAACAGATGTTATCAAATCAAACTAATCCTTCAATAAACAATATCAATCAAACTCTAATTAAATTTCAACAAAAATACAATCAAACTCTAATTAAATTCTAACAAAAATCAATCAAATTGTAAATCAACAATGGAAATCGCGTCGAAATAGCAAGGCTGGGTTCGTCGAAACCCAACAAGACCGAACCCAGCAAGGTTTCGACGAAACCCAGCAAGGCTGGGTTCATCGGAACCCAGGAGATCTGGGTTTCAATCGAACCCAGCTTTGCTGGGTTCCCCATGATGGATCAAGCGCAGTCACATTGGAGCCAATCTGAGCATCCCCTGAGCCAACACAAATCAACCCAAAATCAACGAATCTATTAAAGAACCCATAATAGCACAAACAAGGACAGAAGCAAAATCAACATCTGGAAAGAAAGTACCCGTGACCCAAGAGACCCACATTGAAGTTGGTGAGGAAATGGCAAGCGCAATCTGCTCCGGAAAAATACCGGTGACGTTCCTCTTGAGCTTGGAGTTATCCATTGGCAAGTCATCGCTGAGCAAGAAAATGGGTAGGAGCATGTAGAGCCTAGAGCCCTCCATTGGCTACTTTCCCTCTTTACCAAATGTTGGATGTTTCTATGTTGGGTTCCGATGAACCCAGCTTTCCACCAAACCAAAGTAGGAAAGAAAGAAAGAGAAAGAAAGAAGGGGAAGAAGAGCGATTGGGAGGGTGAGGAAGGCTGGGTTTTGCCTGCTGGGTTCATCTTTCCATCGACCCAAGGTAGGAAAGAAGGAAAGAGAAAGAAAGAAGGGGAAGAAGAGGGATTGGGAGGGTGAGGGTAAAAAAGTAATTGTATTTATTTTTAATTAAAATAGAAAATATTAATCTATGTGGCATTTTTATAATATAATTATAATATATATTATTGCCACATCATCAAAAAAATTAAAAGATAATGACACATGAAATTATTTAACTGCCATGTCATACTTAACTGACGGAGAGATCAAAATTGTGCAAGTTTTAGAGTTAAGGGATCAAAAAAGTGCAAAAAATTGTTAAGGGACCAAAAATATTCATTTCGTAAAGTTGAGGGACTAAATTTAGCATTTAACCTTAAGATAATTAGACAAATTTAATTGCTTTAATTAAAACCAATAAATATAATTAATTTATTCTAATTAAATTTAATTAATTTGATTAATCACATATTCAACTAATAACCATAATTAATTTGCTATTTTTATATTTTTTTAGTTTTTATATTTTTATTTTTTGTGTTTAAACTAATATGGAAGGATTAGGTAACCCAATCTAGAAACATGACCCGTTTGCAAAAGTGCGTAAAAACAAATCAAACACATGAAGATAGAGTAAGGAAATCAAGGTTCATTTGGCAACAATTTTCACAGAATATGCTTCCAATTCCATATCCATTAAACAATCATAGCATAATAAGCAACAAATCTAGCAATTTATTGAATATCATTCATTTCTCAACAATCTCATACAAATTTTAGCACCAATCATCAAAATATCATATTACATTAAAGAGAAAAAAAGAAAATCTAAGGCAAAAATTTCAGGAGAAAGGCAGATTTGGCTCTGAAATGAGGGATCCCACCCATGAGACTAGGCTCCATTCATCACCCTCACTAACTTCTCCCAAAATCCCTTTGTTTCAGAAGATTACCTAAAGTGAGAAAAACCTAGAAAACAATGAGCACTGTTCAGCTGGGAGCAATCTTCAACCGACTGCTCTTCCAATCCTTTCAATGCCTTCGAAAATGCTCCTCCTCCTTCCCAACTGTTGTTTTAGATTTTCTCCAATATTCCAAAAGTAAAAAGCTCCCCAAAACCCTTTCCTTAAAACCTATTTATAAAAACTCGAAATCAAAACTGTAAATCTCAAGAGTGTAACCAACTCTGGGCCATCTAGATTTGTTGCTTTTGGGCCTCTTCAATCTTTGCTTTCTTCGACACTTTCTGTGACATGAATTTGGGCTTTAATCCGCACCCATTCCAGCCTCTTATCATCCAACTCATGATCTGTAGTGGAACAAAAGTGATTTGCAGAGTTGTTCTCAATTGGAAGGAGATCAAAATTTTGCTGACTTGCCAAGGCCTAGCGTGAATAACACCCTCATCGTTGATTGATAGATCAGGCTCCATTCCCTCCAGTTTAGCTACTTACTTACCGATATGGGCTATGCTGGTCTGTGGAAATGACTTTGGTGGGTAAATGTGAGATAGAATAGGGGGATGAGAATGAAGGAGTTAACGGAGAAAAAATGAAAACTGAGTATTAGGGTGAGATGCAAGGATTTAGAAGTCATGGAGGACAGTGATGATGATGATTGGAGAAAGAGAAAGAACGTTGTCGGCGAGTTTGTAAGGAAGAAGAATCATTTGCGTTCAGGAACGTAAGAGAGAAGAAGACTTATGAAAGTTAGGTTTTTATTTTTATTTTTAGGTTCATATATAAAGTATGAAATGGTGAGTGTTTAGTGGGGTTAAATGATGGGTATGAATGGGCTTTAATGATGTGAATTGGATTAGGCCAATCATGGATTTTGACTTTGTAAGCTAATTTGGGCCATTTGGATGAGCTTTAAATGGGTGGGTTTAACTTGAGCTAACCTCTAATGGATAACTTTAACACTTAATCACCAACAATTAGGTAATTTATTTTCCTCTAAATCACTTTCTTGAATTTCTCTTTCCAATCTTTTCACAAAATTTTCTCTTTTTGCCCATGGAACCTGAAAATAAAAATAAAGTACATTAGTTAGAATAAAGATTTTATTTTATTACAAATTTCAGTTACAACAGTTGTCCATTTTTTTTTTTCTAATAGAAAGAAAAGAAAAGATAAGAGTAACTCAAATTTTTAATAAAAGAGAAATGAAGACTTTAAAGATGTTTGAGATAATAGAGGGGTGAATGAGCTCCAATAAAGGTGAAGGGTTTAGATAGAGATAAAGGGAGAGATAGAGGGATCAAGAGACCCTGTGAAGGTAAGACACAGTCAAGGGACCGGATATGTAAATAAATAAATAAAACCAATGGTCTAGAAACCAAGCAAGTAAGTAAAAATGACAAGAGACTAAACAGGTAAGTAAAAATGGTCGAGAGACTGAATAGGAAACTAAAAACAGTTGCGAGACTAAACAGGTAGGTTAAAATGGTTAAGAGACTGAACTGGTAGATAAAAACGGTTGAAAGACCGAACAGGTAGGTAAAAACGATTGAGAGACTGAACAAGTAATTAAAAACAATTGACAGACTGAACATGTTGGTAGAAATGGTCAAGAGACCAAACAAGTAATTAAAAATGGTTGAGGGACTGAATAGGTAGGTAAAAGTGGTCGATAGATTGAACAGGTAAGTAAAAACATTCCAGAGACAAAACAAGTAAGTAAAAATGATCAAGAGACTAAATAGGTAATAGGTAAGTAAAAATGGTTGAGAGACCAAACAAGTAAAGTAAAATGGTCGAGAGACTAAATAGGTAAGTAAAAATGGTCAAAAGACCGAATAGGTAAATAAAAATGGTCAGGAGACCAAACAGGTAAGTAAAAATGGTCAGGAGACTAAACAGGTAAGTAAAAATGGTCAAGAGACTGAACAGGTAAATAAAAATAATCGGGAGATCGAATAGGTAAGTCAAAATGGTTGAGAGTAGGTAAAAATGGTCAGGAGACCAAATAGGTAGGTAAAAATGGTCAGGAGACTGAATAGGTAAATAAAAACAATCTAGAGACCGAACATGTAAATAAAACCGATTAGGAATTCAAATAGGTAAAGTAATAACGGTCAAAAGACCGAACAAGTAAAGTAAAAATGGTTGAGAGAATAAACAAGTGATGTTCAAAAGGCCTAGCAATAATGGAATAAACAAAGGTGAGATAAATTTCCCATATAAGATAAATTGACATGAAAAGAGGTTAAAAACTTCTCTAAACATATTAAGTGTCCTTATATTTGATGAGATTCAAGCGTCCTTTGTGTTATGTGTTCATTGACCTTTTGATCATCTTTATGTAGTAGCTCAATAGATTCACATTCATGTGTACCATATTGAATACAATAAGTAAAATCTCATTTGTTTTCTCATGAGGATCTATTTGAAAACAAAACTCTATTAAGTTGAACTTGCATTTGTTGTTGGAGTTTCAACTCACTTGGATAACTCCTTAGCCATCAAATTCAACTTCAGTTATCCCTGCAATTCTTATCTAATCTTTCAAATTTATCAAGAGATTTCAATTAGATAAACAATTATATTAATTAAAATAAAGTATCATATCCAATTAGTATTCCTAATACTTAATGAAAGGGTGGGTTTGAATAAATGTGAACAGAATGATTGCAAGGATTGATATTATTATATTTAAGTAAGGCTAAAATTTCCATAAGGGCTGACTTTGTTTAATGACAACATGGGGTTTGGCCAGTCATATAACAGCTTGATGTAACTTGTTACGAGAGAACGTTATTCAGATCATAAATCACTGCTTTGGATAATTTTTTTCTTTACAACTCTGCTCATCAGCCTTTAGTATATGAGAGGGAATCTCATTCCTTTTTGAATGTTGACATTTCAAATCCTTCCCCTTCCATGAACTAACTCTTATGCTCAAAAGAGGGAAAATTTCAACTGCCAACAGTTGGAGCTTTGCTATCTTTTTTTTTTTTTTTTTTAATGTCCCTTGACAAAGAAAGTTTTAAATGCTCAAATAAGGACTTTCTATAGGCTTGTAACATGGCCTCGAGTTAGGTTATTATGAAAGAAGGAATAAAGGATCGAAAATCAATTATTCCGGACACTTCCTTCACATTTCGCTCTTCACAACCTTGGTCATTGATCTAGTTAATAGAAAAAAAATCATCTCGACTTTTATGAATTTGGATGATTATCTTTTTCTAGCTCAAAAAGGGTAAGCAAAGGACAATGTTAACTATTTAGGATAGAGAAAGAGGGCCTTTCATCATTGGATCTTTCACTTTCCAAATCAAGGAAATATTTAATTTGTTAGGCCACCCTTTGAGTTTTCAACCTAACTCTTTTTTTCTCTCTCTCTTTCTCTCTCTCTCTTTTGTTTTAACAATAATGTTTTTTAATAGCATCGACATTCATTAGATGATGATAATCAGTTCCATCTGAACATTTCAACAAGAGTGCTCTTCTAGAGAAAGCTTCCTTAACATCATTGCGTCCTTCATACTTTGGTGTAAATGTACCTCGAGGGTCCCTTTCATTTTGTTGTACCTATGATTTTGATGATTACAAAACACATTTGAAAGACTAATTGGTTTATTTAAGTGTGTAGTTAAGTTGCTAAAGATTGCAAGTAAACTTGGATTGCACTAAAAATAGACCAAGAGGATTCAAAATGTGCAGAGAGCCGGCTCTTAAAAGCTACAGCCGGCTCTGGTGAAATGGAAGTGCAGAGAGTCGGCTTTGGAAGTTGAAGCCAGCTCTACGAGCAAAAATTTGAAGACCGTTGTTTGGTGCGTGCGGAGAAAAGACGCAAAGCCGGCTCCAACTTTGCAGCCGGCTATGAGGGCGCATTTAATGCACAACGGTCGACTTATTTGAAGAATATTTAATGTATTTAAAGTCCGAGTTCCAAAGCCGGTTTAATGTTTTGCAGCCGGCTCTCGAGGAAAACAGAATGGCCTGCAAACCCGGATAACCGGCCTGGAAGTGTAAGCTGGCTCTCCTGACAATCCTACAACCTGAGCTTTGCATCTTGCAGGGCATTTAATGACCCCCAACGGCTCGAAATGGCTATTTTCGAGCAAGGGGTTATAAATATGGTTGGTAACAGATTTGAAGAAGTTTAGAGAGCATTATATTGAATATCTTTACCTACCTACATGAGCTTTAACTTGAGAATTTGATCTTTGAGAGATCTTTGTTTGTAATCCTTTTCTTGTGCTATTAGTGAGTGATCTTGGGGGTGTGTTGATTCCTTCAAGAGTGATCTGTAGAGAGGATCTTTGGGGTTTAAGTGTAAAGGGGTGAGATTGAGAGAAAGACCCTTCTTCATGTAAACAATTTAGTGGCTCCTTTAAGCCACCATTGTTTTTGTTAGTGGAGAATGTGGAGGAAATTCTTGGTGAGTGAAGCCAAGGTAGAGGACTAGGCTCCAAGTGGTTGGACCGAACCTCTATAAAATCATTGTGCAAGCTCTTCTTCTCCACTCTCTCTTTAATTTTTGTTTGGTGGTTGCAAAGAGGCGAAAATTCTCCAACTCCAATTCACCCCCCCTCTTGGAGTGCATTGAGTCAACACATTTGGCATGATTTTCCTTAAGACAATGTCATAACCCAATTTTGGGGCTAAGTGATAAAAGTAAAAGCTCACGGACCATTTTTTGCAAAAACTGTGAAGCTTGAAAGGTTGAGAGGAGAAACTAGCAAAACGACGTCGTTTTGCTTGTACGCTAAAATAAAGGGTGAAAACCCTAGCCACCCAAAACCCGTTCCTTTCTTTGCTTCGTCACCAGCCCCTCTCAAAACAAAAAAATCACAAAAAATTTTCTTGACTTATTCCTAAATCTATTCAAGTTTTGAAGAAATTTACGGAGATTGAAAGTCATCAACAAGAAGCGCAAAAGAAGAGTTCGAAATTGATTCAAAGAAGGGAGTTCTAAGCATAGAAGGTATGAATCTAGACTAGAAAAGGGGTAGATGTGGGAAAACTAAGAAATCCCATTCCAAATAGGATTGAGTTGTTATCTTAGGGATTGGGATTTGAGTATTAGAAGCACATTAGGATTGGGTTTTCCTTTTGTCTATAAAAAGGGGGGGGCCTTCGGCTTCTGAAGGGGGAAGAAAAGAAAAAAAAAGGAGGAAGAGAGATCCGAGAGTTGAGAGGGAGAAAGAAAGCAAAAGCTAGAAGAGAAAAAAAGGGAGAAGAAGCCAAGAGAAAGCCAAGAAAAAAATAGAATCAGAGGTGAAGTAGCTGCAAAGGGTGAGCGAAGAAGAAACTTGTATTTTAAATTTTATAAAACAATAAAGCTTTAATCCTTCAGCTCTTTACAGGTGTGTGATTTATTCATTTTTGGTTGATTTCTGTTTTTTTTTTATTATTTAAAAGCATGGGTAATCTTGCATGTCTCTGTTAGTTGTTCTATAAATTGGATGTGATGAAGACTTGCTACAAAAAGTCTTATTCGTTGGTAGAATTAATCTGTTTAAGTTAATTAGGTGTTCGATGGATAAGATCAAGATTTAGGATGAAGTTTGTTTTCATGGTTACATGTAGGAGGTTCTAAATGATGTGCAAAATTGGGAAATAGAAAATTTTTTTTGGGAGGTAGGAAGTGAGTGTAGGTATTAAAAGGAAAACAAAAAAAAAAAAAAAAAACAGAAACGAAAAGAGTACAAAAAAATTTAAAAAAAAAGAAGAAACAAAAGTGAAAAAAAAATGAAACAAAAAAAAAAGGGGGGTCGATGGAGGACTGTACTTATTTATTTATTGTTATTATTTTTGTTTTTGAAGTGATTTTTTTGGGGGTAATTGTTATTGATTAAAAATAAAAAAAAAAAAGAAAAAAAAGCAGAAATGGAGAAACAAAAGGTAAATGAAAAATTGTTTTTAAGTGATTTTTTTTTTTTTGTTTTGGAAATTATTATTTTGATATAAAATTGAAAAGTCCCCAAAATTAAAGTATGTGGTAACCATATTATATGGAAGTTGTGGGATGTCTAACACCTTCCCCACGCTTAACCGACCCTCCGAGCCTAGTCAATTTCAACGAAGACCTTGGTGATCTATCCCACCTCATTTGGATAGACGGTGACTCCATCCATTTTGGCATGTCAACAGACAATATCTCCTTGATGGAACATTCTAGGTTTGACCCTCTGATCGTAAGCTGTTGCCATTCACTACTAATAACATTGGCCATGATAAAGAGTTGCTAACCTTTTCTCATCAAGCAAGTTAAGATGGTTTATCCTTTTTTGAATCAAGTTTTCTTCATCAATCCCTAACTCAGATAAGATCTTTATGGAAGGAATTTCTAGCTCAATTGATAATACTGCCTCCATTTTGTATACCAAGGAATAAGGAGTTGCCCTAGTTGAGGTGCGAATAGAGGTTTTATTAGCATAGAGAGCATATGGCAACATTTCATGCCAATCATTATAAGCAACTATCATTTTGGCTAGAACATTCTTAATATTCTTATTGGTAGCTTCCATCACACTATTCATCTTTGGTCAATATGGAGAAAAGTTCATATGTTTGATCTTGAATTGCTTGCATAGTGCAGTCATCATGTCATTGTTCAAATTGCTTGCATTATCAATAATGATGGCACCTGGTTGTCCATATCTACAGATGATCTTCCTCTTGATGAAGCGGGTAATCACCTTCTTTGTGACATTAGCATAAGATGTTACTTCTACCCATTTTGTAAAGTAATCAATAGCAACTAGGATAAATTGATGACTGTTGGAAGCTTTGGGATTAATTGCCCCAATCACATCAATGCCCCACATAGAGAATGGCCAAGAAGCAGACATATTATGTAGTAATGAAGGTGGAGCATTAATATGATCGACATAAATTTGGCATTTATGACAAGCTTGTGAACACTTGATGCAATCATGTTCTATAGTTAACAAGTAATACTTGGCTTGAAGAATCTTCCTAGCAAACTTTTTTCCATTAGCATGTGTTCCACATATCCATTCATGCATCTCTATCATGACTCATTTTGCCTCTGCTTCATCAACACATCTCAACAAGGTTATATCAGCAAAATGCTTATAAAGTGTACTTCCACTTAAGAAATATGAAGTGGCCAATTTTCTCTTTGTCTTGTTCACCTCAAAAGCATGAGGAGTATATTCCCCATGTTGTAAGAATTGCTTAATATCATGAAACCATGGTTTATCATCAACCTTGATCTCCATGTAGTGTGCCAGTTCTTGGTTGATCACAATCATCAAAGGCTTGATTGTGTCATCATTGGATATTTGGATCATTGAGGCTAAAGTAGCCAAAGCATTCGCAAATTGGTTCTTGGCACGGGGCATGTGTTTTAAAAAGATGAATTTTAATTTTTTAATGAGAGTTTGAAGGTATTGTGGTAAGGAATAAGTTTTGGATCTTTAGTTTGCCAATTACCATTTGTTTGACAGATGATTAGTGTTGAATCATCATATATCTCCAAATCTTGGATATTCATGTCCAAAGCGGCATGTGTTTTGGCAATACAATCTTCATATTTAGCTATGTTATTGGTGTAAGCAAAAGCAAGATTTATAGCAAGAGGAAAGTGATCACCTTTTGGGGATACTAGCACGGCTCTAAGGCCACAGCCAAGTTGATTAACAGCTCCATCAAAAAAGAGCTTTCAATTATCTGAATTAGACTCTACCTCCACTGCTAAAATGTCTTCATCAAGAAAATTCCAATCAATAGGCTTATAATCCTCCACTGCATGCTCAGCTAAATGATCTGCAATGACTTGCCTTTTGATGGCCTTTTGTGTTGTGTGAACAATGTCAAATTTGAAAGCAACATATCCATCAAGAGATTCTTCTAGAGAGGGTGGGTTTTTCAAAAATAAAATTTATTAGATTTATTCTTGAAAGTAGGTAAGTGGTGTTGGTTAACATGTAGTGGCAAAGTTTCTTGAATGTTCAGGCTAAGGAACGACAAGTTTTCTCTGAGGCTAAGTATTTACTCTCATATCAAGAACTTTTTGCTCAAATAATAAATGGCTCTCTCTTTCCTTCCTGGGCCATCATGTTGAATGAGAATAGCACCCATGGATTTCTCAAAGACAACGATATATAGGATAAAAGGTTTTTCATCGAGTAGTGGTACAAGGATTGGTGGGTTTTTGAGGTATTCTTTGATTTTGTCTAAGGCTTGTTAGCATTGGTTATTCTAGATATCAAGCTTGTCTTTTTTGAGGAGTTTAAAGATAGGTTCACAAATGGCAATAAGGTTGGCAATGAAATGGGCAATGTAATTAATTCTTCCCAAGAAACTCTAGATGTCTTTTTGGATTTTTGGTGGTGGCATTTCATCACTGGTTTTTATTTTGGTTGCATCAATCTCTATCCCTCGATGACTTATAATGAAATCGAGTAGCTTTCCCAAATCCACATCAAAAATATATTTAGTAGGATTAAGCCTCATTTGTTATCTTCTAAGGCATTCAAACACCTTCTTAAGATTTTCTACATGTAGTATGTCTTCTTTGTGTTGACTCAATGCACTCCAAGAGGGGGGGTGAATTGGAGTTGGAGAATTTTCACCTCTTTGCAACCACCAAACAAAAATTAAAGAAAGAGTGGAGAAGAAGAGCTTGCACAATGATTTTATAAAGGTTCGGTCCAACCACTTGGAGCCTAGTCCTCTACCTTGGCTTCACTCACCAAGAATTTCCTCTACACTCTCCACTAACAAAAACAATGGTGTCTTAAAAGAGCCACTCAATCCTTTACATGAAGAAAGGTGTTTCTCTCAAATCTCACCTTTTTACACTTAAACCCCAAAGATCCTCTCTATAGATCACTCTTGAAGGAATCAACACACCCCCAAGATCACTCATTAATAGCACAAGAAGAGGATTACAAACAAAGATCTCTCAAAGATCAAAATCTCTAGTTAAAGCACAAGTTGGTAGGTAAAGATATTCAATATAATGCTCTCTTGACTCTTTCATATCTGTTACCAACCATATTTATAGCCCTTTGCTCGAAAATAGCCGTTTCTAGCCGTTGGGGGTCATTAAATGCTCTGCAGGACACATGGCTCAAGTTGTAGAACTATCAGTATAGCTAGCTTAAGCTTCTAGAGTCGACTCTGTAAAGTCGGCTTACACTTCTAGAGCCGACTATCTGGGTTTACAACCTATTCTGTTTTTCTCAAGAGTCGGCTGCAAAACTTTGAGCCGACTTTAGAACTCTGACTTTAAATACATTAAATATTCTTCAAATAAGTCGACCGTTGTGTATTAAATGCGCCCTCATAGCCGGCTACAAAGTGGGAGCCGGCTCTGCTTCCATTTTCCGCGCGTGCTAAAACAGCAGTTGAATTTATTGTCTGTAGAGCCAACTCAACAAAATCTGCAGCTGGCTCTCTGCATTTTTGCTTCCCAGAGCCGACTACAATTTTCTTAAGCTGCCTCTCTGCATATTTTTACCCTTTGAGCCCTTTTTAATGCAATCTCATTTTGCTTACTTTGCAGTATATTGACAATTTAACTACACACTTAAATAAATCAATTAGTCACTCAAATATGCTTTGTAATCATCAAAATCATAGGTACAACACTTTGGACATAATCACCATGTCATCAACACATAATTCAACAATAGTGTACATAAAGTCATATAATAAAGTAATCACAGAGTGTTGGTATGTTGCCTCAGCATTTTTGAGTTAAAAAGACATAACTTTGTAGCCAAAGGTATCCCATTGAGTGATGAATGTCTTGAGCTTATCCTCTTCCTTCATATTTGCTTGATTATACCTAGACTAGCCATTAACAAAAGAGGATCGAGCTTTTTTGGTATCATTATCCAGCAAGATTTGGATGCGAGGCAATGGAAAGTCATCCTTTGGGCTTACTTTGTTCAAGTCTTTATAATCCACACAGACTTTAACCAGGCCATCTTTCTTCATCACAGGAACAATGTTAGCTACCCATTTCGGATACATAGCTACTTCAATGAAATTAACATCTAGTAGCTTTTGCACTTCTTCTTTGACTTTCAACAAAATCTTTAGCTTCATCTTCCTCAACTTTTGTTTGATTGGCTTAGCATCAAGACATAGTGGAATGGCATGAACAACGATCTTAGGATCACGTCTCGACATGTCTTTACAGGACCAGGCAAAAACATCCAGAAGTTTAGACAAGAGCTTTATCAACTCTTTTCTTTCTTTTGGAGATAAATGAGCATTAATTTTTATTTCCTTTCTGTCATCTTTAATGCTTAGATTAATGGTTTTTGTCTCTTGATTTGGTTGTAGCTTTGGCTTCTCTTAGCATTTGAGTCAGTTTAAAGGAAGGATCAAGATTTTCATTGTCTTCTTCATTATAGGTTTGATCATCAATCTCATACATAAAGTCTAACAGGCATCATTGTTTAAAGATTCAACATTAGCAAGCTTGAAAATTTGGATGGGGAGTAAATAAATGGCTAAATATTAATAAAGTAAAGATAAAAAACATGCTATTGAATAATTTCATGAAATATATCATTAAAAGAGTGGTTTGTACAATGAAGAACTAGGTAAAGTTGCATCATGATGATTTTACAATAATAGGTAGGATAGCAACATGTTTTATTGAAAAGGAAAGCATGGTAATTACTATGAGCATGATAACATAAAATTTAGAAAATATAAAGGTGCTTGTCGAATCCCTTCCTTCACGTAGTCACAAGCACAACTATTAGAAGGTTGACTCTTTTTACTCGAAGATGAAAGTTGTAGGGGGAAGTTCCACTGTCCAATTAGCTCGAGAGTTTCCATTGACTAGAGAAATTCCCCCATCAAATTCCAGTCCATTCTCATCTAGAGCATTTATAGTCAAATTTCCCCATGAGTCACATAGCAATTCTTCTTGCACTGATTCAAGAGGCACACACTCATGTGAACCCATTAGAGTTTTTGCATGATGAACAAGATGGAAGTTAGGGTGCTTCTCTATAAATGCCTTTTTAGTCAGTATCTTTCTCCACCTTTCCTTAGGATTTGTCATGTGGTCGGCTCAAAGAAATTGTTGAAACCAAAATAGTTTTCTTTATCATCAAAACATACCTCATTAGTAATGTCTCCATTGAACTCAAGTAAGGCATTTCGTAGCTTTAATAGCACAAATTCTTTGCCAATCTTTCTTCTTTGGCTTGTATCCCAAACCAAAAGTTTCCTAAGTTTGAATTATTTCAATACGTTCAAGCATTCCTTATCCATTAAATCCCAAACCTTTTGCTAACCGATAATGACATGAAAGCATGATCTTAGCAGCAACCTTAGTAGGTTCGATTATTTTGACCTTTTTTCCTTTAAATTTTGGATGAATATAAGAAGCAGCAACACACTCCATTGAGTGAGAAAAGAGTTCATAAGTCTCAGGATCAATTCTTGAGTAAAAGATGGTTGTAGCCTTTTGGATGACATGCTCCTCCTCGTTGTTCACTATAAGGAGGACACTATTAACAATGTACTTGACTTTATGATGCAAAGTAGATGGTACTACTTCAGCAACATGTATCTAAGGCTTTCTAAGAAGCATGTTAAAAACAAGAGCAGTATCCATAACAAAGAAATCCACATCAACAGTCATAGGACCAATTTCCACTAGAAGCTTAATGTTTCCAATCACATCCCTTTTTGTTCCATTAAAAGCACAAACCTCTATACTACAATGACTAATGTACGACTGTAAGACTCATCAACTTTCAATTGCTTCAAAACAGTTATGGGGATCACATTCAAGGCTAACCCATTGTCAATCAACACATGAGACACATTCATCATCTTACACTGGACAAAAATATAGAGAGCTTTGGTATGTCCATTTCTTTCATCAGGAATCTCATATTAATGAAGTTAATGTAATTAAGGGCCAAAATTGCCTTAACCATAGTCCGAAACTACTAGGTATCAATGTTCTTAGGAACATAAGCCTTTTTTAAGACTCTAAGTAAAGCATCTTGATGAGCTTTACATGATAACATCAATTCCAAGAAGGAAATTTTATCAAGGGTTTTACTAAGCAGTTTAATGATGCTACACTTACTTTTCTTCAAAATGTTCAAGAATTCAATAACTTCCTTTTTTGACATTGGCTTCTTGGATGATTCCTCTAACATCTCTTCAATTTTGATATCCTTTGACTTCAAAGTGGCTCTCCTCAACTCCTCCACTTTAGGATTCACATTGCATCGACCACCACAGGTCATAATAGACACATCATTAGTTGCAGAATTCAAAACACTAGATCCCTCGGTGTCACACAAAGGCATGGCTTTAAGTGAATAAAAAACATGGCTATTAGCCATACATGATGGTTTCTCCATAGATGACTCTTTAAGAGAGGTTTTCAAGACATAGGCTTGTTATGGATTTTAACTAATAGTTTGTGACCTTTTAGCATCTTGCACCATGTAAAGCCTTTCTTTAGTGAAATGTTCCTTAGTCACTAGTGCTATGAATTTCTTTGACTCATGAGTTAAATAAACTTCAAAGATCCTATTCTTTGTAGCTCTT